TACCGCGAGAAGCGATCAGACACAAGGCCAGAATTTTCCTCAGGGAATGGGTGTGCTAAAATGCCATGTTTTACGCGAACTCCTGCGAATATGAACCGAATTCCTGCGAAATCACCCTGAATATAGTATAAACTGCTCAGCTCATGGCGTCTGTGCTGTGGAGGGAGGGGGCGGGAGGCTCAATGTCTTCTCCTCTTTGGTAAGTCCTTGATAGCAAGTCTATATGGCACTCATTTGCCTACAACCTGTGGCCCTTAGGGTGCCGGTAGCGTAGTGGTTAACCCGCCCGCGTTACCCACTGCGCGTCTCGGAAACCAAAGGTGCGGGTTCGATTCCTCGCGAGGCCCGCTCTTCCTGCTGGGGTGAGAGGCGGGCAACGCCATATAGCCTCAGCAGCCGGGCGCGTCGTAAAAGCCCAATAACAGCAACGTGTGGTTTTTAGTGACAAAGGCAATCTGCTGTGCGAGGGCGGCCACAACAGATTATTGTGGTTTCTCGGCATGAAAACCATTTTGGAATAGACCAAATATTTTAAAAAGGTGTTTGATTTCGACACCGGTAACACTTATGTAGAGGTGGTCGAAATCCGGGGACAAGTAAAGCTTTGAGATCAGGTTATATCAGCGTTATTGGATCAGCCCTCGCCCCCAACCAATTTTAGAACGTAACAGCCCTGCTCATGTCCCACCATTACACCGTTTTCAGTAAGTCAGGTTCACTCAGCTTAACACAGTGGTAGCTTTCCATTCGAAGTTAGCCTAAAACGCGCAGTTAACTCACTCAATCTCACACAACGCGTTGATAGCAGACACGCGTAGCACAGGACACACCAGCTTGCGAGACCTCATACTGAAATGTAACACAGATGTCATTGCGGGCAGCGGAGTTCTCCACCCTGTTCTCCACCCTGAGTGCTCCACGAACAGATGACATTTCTACCTTTGTCACCACCCATGTTGCCTATCCAACTCCAAAGACATCAACTGAACAAGTATGGGGCTATATAAACAGGGATACTGGAAACTTTCAGTTTCTTGTAAACATTAGCTGGGACAGAGTACACAACCATTACACAGCCATGAGTAACTTTACTTAGAGTGCCCACAGCTGCTGCTGAAGCCATTCCAACTGGGACAGTCAAGACAAGAGACCGCGACAAACCTGTCATCCGACTGATGAACTGACGACCACTGGAGTCGCTGGAGACAGCAAAGAAACCTGACCACACCCATAAACAAACAACTTAGAGCAATCACTTGCAACGTCAAGTCGACAAACTGCCCGCATGTAAGCAAAACTCACGCGAGCATCATCGCATTCTTGTACAGATGTTGGACGGACGCGGACAGATAGTGCCAACACGCTTGGGACCTGGCAGTTCACGGGGGCGCAGCCCATAAACTAGAAGGGTTTAGGTCTTAATAGGGTAGGGTTGTGAACTGCACCGAATTATCCCCAAGATGGCTTTTTCGGTTCGAAACCCCCTGCAAATGTGTAACACTCCCTTCACTGTAGAAGCGCGTTATGGGCGGGCAGAACACCACGACAGTAGCATAGACGGTATTCTACTCTAATTTTACGAAGAAAAGGTACTTTCTTAGCCCCTCTGCGAGACATCGTACCAGTGTCTTTAATCCCGGTTGATGGGGGTACCGCAAAGATCAGTTCTCGGCCCAATTCTCTTCTTAATGTACATAAATAACCTGCCTAAACTAGGCAGTAACATGATTTGCCTGTCTTACGCTGATGATACTGCGATTATTTTCAAAAATAAAAGTATTGTTGAACTTCAAGACAATGTCAAAACGCTTTTGCTTCCAATGACTTCCTGGTTCACAGCTAATTTTCTTTCCCTGAACGTATCAAAAACATTTACACAGCATTGCACTACCGTTTCTTCGCATTTCCAACTAAATGTGCAAATTAATAATTCACTTATTGAAGAAAAAAAGAAATCAAATACCTTGGTGTACTCATTGACAATTCCCTTAAATTTACAAGCCACGTCAATTTTGTTGCAAGCATAGTAAGTAGAAATGTTGGAATAATAAGTAGGGTTAGGTACTTCATTGATAAAACAAAGTCACATCTAATCTATAACACATTGACTGTTCCTTATTTAAATTACTGCTGCTTGTTTTGGGGTATAAATTATGCTTCTCAACTAGATCGGTTAGTAATTTTGCAAAAAAGGTTGTGCGTCTTGTAGAAAATGTGTATCCTCCACACAGCTCAGAGTCAATCTTTAAACGATACACAATTTTGAAACGATCGGATATCGCTAAATCCCAAATGTTAATTGTGATGCACAAATTTGTAACTTCACAGCTCCCTGCATCATTCGATTTAATATACAAGCTGTATGAATCAAGTGACATGGATATGAGGCGAGTAAAACATTTAGACCAACCTTTCTCTAATCGTAATCTTAGACTATTTGCATCTTGTCTTGGCCCTAAGCTGTGGAATAACATTATGATTTCATATTTTCCAAGAATAACTGATATCTCTGTATCAAAAACCGTTGTTAAGAAAATTATTCGCAAGCATTTCGTGAACACATATTAAGGTAACCAGCATATTTGAAGACATTGCAATCCTTTGCGCTGCACATATCCAAGGCACTTCATATTTAACCTCCTTCATGTTCCATAATCACGTTCTGATATAGTTGAAGTCATGCACATGTACCCAAATTCACGGCGCTGGCTCCGGGAGTTCTCCCAGCAACAAGTTCTGCTTAGCTGGGTGGACTCCCTGGACATCCAGCTCAAAACCCAGCACGAAAACGACCAGGTAATTGCCCCATCAAATTTAAAAAGGCATCGAGGACCCCCAACGCCTCGCGTTGAGTGTCTCGACACCGATTAGCGCCCAGTCGCGCGCGCATAACCATTCGCACGTGCTCCAGGTGACTTCTTCTTTTTAAGTGGGATCTCCCGTCCAGCAGAAGAAGGCTTCTGCGGGTTGATTTTCTATTGTAAAAACGCAATAGGCGGTGATAGTAGTTAATAAACAGGCCGTAAGGGTTCACCAGTGCCTGCCATTGAAGATGGGGCAGTCTCTTTAAGGCCGCTTTTCACTGATGCATCGAGCTTACGCCGGATTTATAAATTCGTGTCACGCATCGTCGAGATTCAGGATGAAAAGTGGATGGAGAGAAGGCAAATGAATCATTTGATCTATTAGGATCCAGGAGGTTCAATAAGGCGAGAAGTCCTCTTTCATTTACCATGATGTTGTTGAGTGTTAGTGCGTGCGCTGCATCGTAAGTTGCTGATATGGGTGATGATGTGAGGACAAGCCTCGGGTCACGTTCCAAATCACTCCCGAGGCGCCCGAACCTCGCTCAGCTGACGCCCAGTTATTTTGTGAGCCAGCCGCACCGGGGTCTGCCTTTGCCTGCCACGAGCACTGTGCGAGACTGGAGGCTTGGAGCACAGTTCTTGGCCCTGTCGCATATCTCTATTTCGTTCCTTTCGTTGCCAAGTAATGCTGCTTTGTCTCTGTGATTATGTCTATCAAGTCCAATGTCTTATTGTGTTCTGTACGGAGTGTTTTTTGAGAGGGTAGTATCGGTGCTGAAAAGACTTGTTGCACCAGGTGTCCTCAAAAATGAACAACATTTAATATTTCTGTGCCTCATTTATTTTAACTTAAATTTAAAGCGTACAAACCAATCGAGAGCGTGATGGATGCGAAATTATCTACATGTTCTTATGGAACCATTTCTCAAGTTTGGTGCTGACGAACCACGACCTCTCATTTTTTTCATTTCCGTCCAACACACATGGCGGCGAGCGCCTCGGCGTTTTGGGTCACGCGAGTTAATGGCCAGATGGCACCCCAAGTGACGCAGCAATGATCGGTCGCTTGACTTGACCCAGTGCCTACATGCATTTTGCGTACACAGCACTCTTGAGGTATCCCATACATACAAATTTAGTGGGGGGGGGGGGGGGTAAGATTGAGCGAATGCACCAACCAGGGTAAAATGATAAAACACGGGTTCGAAGTGATCGTGCGGGGCGCAACTATAAGCATATCGCAAAAGGTCAGACCTGGTCCAAAACTTTTCAATGCTGTTGGTTAAAAGATATTATAACTCTTAGCATAACGCGCGTAATTGGTGGATTTTTTCCTGTACTATACGATGCATATTCTGGAAAAACACCAACCTTCGCTATGTTTTGTCTGCAAGAAAGCTGCGCAGGTGTGACAGATGTAACCACTGGTGGGATGAGGAGGCAGGGGAAACGTGCCCCCGATTTAGCTGGTAGGCATTCATGTCCCCACCCTTCATGTTCTCTGCAGAACGTACGGTTTTCTCACCTCCTCAAACCAAGTTCCTTGCCCTAGGCCTACTTTTCGCCTACTAAATTCTTACCTCAACATTGTTTTGTCCCTCCCATCTCAAGTGTAGCTCAAGATAGTCGCTATTATTTGGAGGGAACGTACACATTTGAAGGCATTGAAGCAAGCACTAGATGTCATGAAATAAGTTCACCTATAACTATCGGTGTCCTTATAAATGGAAATAACTGCTTTAGACAACAAAATTTATCTGCCTTATAAACATACCCCTCAATCCGTCATTGTATGACGGGGTCATGGAAAGTTTGTATGGCGTTGAGGTACTGCCAAACTTCGTCTGGTAATTACGCCAAACTGCGTCTCGCTTTACTGTTTTAAAAAGTGCAAATAAACTGCGCTTCTACTAACTTAAGTGCTACTGCTACTGTTACCAAATGAAATGAGCTGTATTTCGGGCCCAGCAAAGGTCTCGGGCTGACCTTGCTGACACGGGCCACTTTTTCAACGTCGGCCCCTAGCTGTCGGCGCAGCCCTGCTCGCTATCCGGACAACACCCGTCCAGCCCGTGAACTTGACCGGAGCGGCACCTTCCCGCACACGCCGAGCACGTATAAAACAGCATGTGGGCGTCACTTCTCAGCATACTTCTTGCCAGAGTTCCAGGTGCAGCTGTCAAACGCTCCAACATGCAAGTCTCAGTGAGTATGGCTTCTGTTCTGGTCGAAATCTTGATGCCGCCAAGAACCATTGCATCGTATATCTCAATGAAAAGGTTGTGGCCATCATGGCAGGAGGTGTCAGAGAAGCTTCTTTTAGGCGGTGACAACGGAACTCCTCAGAAGCTTGGGTGGACAGTTTGGCTGTTTTATTGAAATGTTTTGGGTAGCTCCGGTCCCCTCCGGGCCACCCCCCCCCCCCCCCCACAAACCCTCCCAAGAACTCTGTTTCGGTGAAGCCAAGCGTCATTATGTGCGACCAGGCGTCATAAAGCCAATGAAAGTACCTTAGAACTTAAATAGGTCAATTTAAGAGTTAGCAGTCGAATGTGAAGGCCGTAGAACTAGGCTGTTTAATGCGAAGGCCACTGCTTGAAACAAGCTTCAGAAGCGTGACGTTCAATGTTCAGAAACTACTCTGACCGTGGGGGGTGCAGGGCAGCCGGCGGTTCTCAAGCCCAAAATCATCACCATCATCACAAATTGGGCGGTGGCCGGCTGACCTTTCGCGCTTCAGCATCTTTCCGCGAATTCTCACTGACAGCACCAGAGTTTACAGCCGACAGGATGCTACCCGTGAATCCGCTGATGCATCTGTAGCGACAAGCGCGAGCAGAGACGGCCTCGGCGGCGTTACACTGAGCCTGTTGACATGGACCTCGCAAAGTGAGTCTGTTGACACGAGCTGCGCTCTGCCACAGATTCTGTTGACACTGCTGGCGGCGGCTCACGCGCAGTACACGGTCCCGCTTGTCAACACCCAGCTAGGCTACTCGGCGCCCGTCTACACCACCTACGGCGGCTTGGGCGCCGGTTACGGCTACAACTACGGCTACGCCAACGCCATGCCCATGGCGTACGGCACGGCGGCCGTGCCCGTCTCGATGTCGGCCGTCCCGCTGGCGTACGGCGCGGCTGGCGTGGCCATGCCGGTGGCCAAGGCGGCCGTGCAGTCTCACGCCCAGGACGAGCTCGGTCAGTACAACTACGGCTACGCCACCGGCACGTCCGCTAAGAAGGAGGTGAAGACGGCCGACGGCGTGGTGCGCGGTTCATACAGCTATGTGGACGCTTACGGCCAGCCGCAGCACGTCAAGTACGTCTCAGATGCGCTCGGATTCCGCGTGCAGGCGACCAACCTGCCGGTGGGTCCGGCGGCCGGCGCTGTCCTGGGCTAGGTCAGCGCCGCTGACCCGGCTCAGGGCAGTCGCGACCGCCGGCCGACCGCGGTCTGCCGCCAGACTGTTCTGTTTGTGGGGGTTCGTCGAACAGTAGTATCGCTGATCTAGATAATGAAGTGCTTAGTATGAAATTGCCCATCACAGTGACAGCGTTCATTCTGTTGTCATCTTTCAGTATTTAAAGCTTGGTTTTTGTATTCATGTGTATTGTCATGGGTCGGGCATGTGATATGGTAGTTCTAATAAAATATGGCCTGTGTGCACCCAGCGGGCTGTCCGGTATCTATATTTATTTTCGCGCTGTAGCTACTTCAAGCAATATGGAGGAAGCGACACTTCAGGACATCTGATCCCCACACATTTTGAAAAATTGAACAGGGGTCTGAAAGTATGTGCATACCACCCCTGGCCGGTACATGGTCCTTTGCCACTGCCGAGGACACACGCCACAGTCCGTTGTTATGAGTTAGCACGATACTCTTCTGAATTTCGCCCCCGAGCCGACGCAGTAAGCCTTCACAAACAGGTAGCTTTTGCTCTCTATTTGGAAGTGCGCAATCTAGAGCTTTTAATTCGATTATTTTAAGTAATGAGTACGTTTGTTTTTCTACGTGGGGTCAAACTCGGAACGCAGAATGGTTTTTGTCGTCCTAATGTAGTCGCTTGATTTGTCCGAGAGCAGAGCTAATGGAAGCTAAAGTATGCCACTAATTTATGCAGATTTCATGCGCGATCACCTAAGACCATTATTTACATTTTCGTGACTTCCACCTGACATGATCCTGCACCTATGATCTTCATGTACAACAATATATTAGTATAGTTCTGAAATATATACTTAAAGTGACTCGAACCTGTGCTTAAGGAAGTATTCAACATGGGGAGACGTTAAAGCAAACATTATATATGATTAACTAGACTCACTATTATCTATACTAATAGAATATTGAGCTACTTTTAGCCGGAAAAGACTGCACTACATCAAACAACGTCTCTGTTTCTAAGATGGTAGAGTGCTTGTGCGACGTAGGCGTGGTAAACATTAAAAGGGAACTAAGATGACCTCTTTACAATTATTATATACGTGATACTCGTTACGTAAGTTGTCTTTTTGATAAATTTTCAGTCACAGACTCTGCTCACCGATCGAAAAGTTCAAACATAGGCCGGACACCAGATGTTAGCCTGTGTTCACAGCGGTTTTTTGTCCAGCATACGCGTGATGAAATGGCGCATATTTCCTACACTTCGACCGAACAAATTGCACTAAGTCACGGGCGATAAAAAAACACTGGCCTCGTACAGACAAAGCCTACATTATTCCCCAGGATGAAATATTCACATTTATTAGGGCTTTAGCTTGCGTATGTGGACTTAGTCACAACTTTTGCGTTTGAAGTGATCTTTGTTTTTTGCAGGATTTTACCAACCAAGGGGTTATGAACACGCCGAATTTCATAGCTTTGGTGTGCAGAGATGAAGTGACCTCCAATGGGAGCCTTTTGTTTTTGCGTCTAGGACGTGCCCGTTGAACCGCAGCCGAATGGGTCTCTTTGGTTCACCAACATACGATGCACTGTCACCCTAACTCTCGCCTTTTAAGCACGTTATACAACACACACATCGCCAGACGCCAGGAATTTACCTTTTACCTTTTACCTTAACCTGTAATGCATGCATTACATATTTTTTTACCGGACAGACATACAGATTGTGTGAAAGCCGACCAACCAGATTGCGTTTCAAGGTCTTTTGGTTTTGTCATGCTAGACAACATAAGATAATTTTTTTGATAGCTGATTTGATCTTTACACGCAAAACTTCCTTCACATGGGGAAGCTTAAGACGAACGTCCACATCTTGATCTCGTTGGTGTTAATGGTGTTCCTGCTGATACTGACGACGTTTTTATTGATGTTGATGATGTTTCCTCTCCGGTTGTCTCGCTCGGCGTTCTGTCCAGTCGCTATTGTTGAGTGGCCTGTCGATGAAGGTCACGTGCAAGTTTTTTTGGAGTAGCGATTTTTTTCGAATAGATTTAGTGTGTTTTGACATTAACGGTAATTTGCATCGGCATTTGACGATGTTTTCATGGCACGTCGAAATTCTGAGCGGATGACGGCCTTTTTGTCAACATAAGATGGGCTGATGTGGCATGGATGATGATACGGAAAGGTTAGGCGTGATGAACAGTTCTGTTGAAAATCTGAAGCTTGGATCCACCGTGGCAAGTGCATTCGGGAATTTTAGCTGTCCGGACATATAGGTGTCTTCCAAGGTGACTTTGATGCCGTTATGGATAGAATTTAGGTATCTGATGAAGCCCAGCACCTCATCGTTAGGGCGAGTCCAGACCCCTATGGAATCGTCGATATATTCGGCGTAAAAAGGAGGCTTTAGGATCACGTTGTTGATAGCTTGTTTAAAGTTGTGCATACAGATTTTGCAACGGGCGGTGCACCTTGTTCCCCATGGCAATACCGAGTTGCTGTCTGTAGTGGTTTTCGTGAAATCCGAAGGTGTGATTCCGCTGGTCTAACCTTGCCGGTTTTGGCTACGGTTTAATGAGCACGTTCTATACGCAAAAACAAAACTCCAGAGGCCCCCCCCCCCCATTGGCAATCTTCTTATCTGTCCACCAAATCTATGAGATTCGGCGTAACAAGACCCCTTGGCTATTAAAATTTTGCAAGAAACCAAAGACTATTCCTGTCGCAAAATTTGTGAATCTACCCACATACGCAAACTGAACCCCGCTAGAAAATACAAACATGTCATCCCAGAGAATAATGTAGTGTTTATCTGTACAGAGACAGATATCGCTCGTGACTTATTGTAGTTTGTTCTGTTGAAGTGTGAAAAATGTGTACCGTTTCATCATGAATGGTAGGGTGCCGCCAAACCAGCCTTGTGAATTCCACCATGTAGTCCTTGTAGTCCTTCCACTTGTAGTCCTTAAATCTCCCGAGAGGTGTCCGCTGCGTTACTAGAGGTTTTTCCTGAACATTGTTATGTGCTCGTATGTTGGCCCTTTCTCGTGGTGTTCCTGCACACTTATCTGTGATGTTAAGGTGTTTACTTGTATTCATATACTCTGCTACGGCGCCTTATTTAAGTTGTTCTTTTACAAATATTATTTCTGTAATGTCTTGTAACCATGCCCAATGTCTTGTCTTAGGGAGCACAAACCTGATTCGTGCTGGATTCGGACACAAAGCTCGCGTTGACCCATGCGATGGCCATACACCTGTCTGGCAAGGCCTCAGCAAGTGATTTGCTCATTTCGCAGCTCTCAGCCAAGGAGTCCTTTTTCGCGTCGCCGTTCTCGTCGCTCTTCTGTTAGCACTAGCTCCAAACGCACCTTTTCGCATATATTTCGCTGTTCTCTTCTCGCTCCCCGGTATGGGGAAGCGAAGCAAGCGTAAGGAGGGTGACACTGACACGGACTCGAACTCGGCCTCTGACATCGATAATTCCCTAAATATAGACGACGGGAGTGCCGCTACCCTCGCTTTGGCTACCACTTCACCTGATGACCTTCGCGCGCCCCAGGCCCTTTCCATTGGTTCATGCACTTCCGCCGCGGTGTCTGGACAGCATCCGTCTCCGTCCAACGTCCCCGGTTCCGACCCTCCCTCGTCTTCGACCACCCCGGTGCTTGCTCGCTCTGATGCTGACCCCCGCTCGACAACGACCAGTGTTCGCCCTCGACAGCGACCTCTGGACCAATTCTGAATCCTCTCGGCTCTTACGTTGTTGTTCAGCCTTGCGATGAGAACGTGTCATTTCGGAAGATCAATGTCTGACCGTGGCCGTAGTTGCCTTGGAAAACTCATGGAACGCATGGTTGGAAAGCGCCTTTCCTGGTTGAAAGATCATGATAAATTGCTGTCGAACCAACAATGTGGATTTAGACGCAGCTGTATCACCTGTGACCATAAAATACGCCTAGAAACGGAAATTCGTCTCGCATTCCGTCAAAAAAGCCAAGTCACAGATGTATTCGTAGATATAACTCGCGCTTACGATGTGGTATTCAAACCTGCACTGATTTTCAAACTTTACAAGTTGGGATTTAAGTGGGATTTCTCTCGTGGGATTGGGACCTCGTTGGACTTCTCTCAGGGATACGGCCGTTTCGTGTGAGATGCCGGTCGGCTGTTTCCGGTGTTCATTTCCTATAAAACGGACTCCCGCAAGGGAGCTGTATTTCTCCTATCCTTTTCAACTTGATGTTTGATGATGTATTTGATAAACTTCCTTCTGGCATTTCCTCGTCACTTTTTGCTGATGACAGCGCAATCTGGTGTTCAGATAAAGAATACGATCACTCACTACCACGTCTCCAAAATGCAGTTGACAAAATTCAACAATGGTCAAGACATTATGATTTCCAACTGTCTTTTACAAAATATGCCGTTGTGATTTTCAGTAAAAGGCAACGAGTTACACCGGCGTATTTTCTTAATCTCGACGGTCACTTCGGTCGTATTGTTTTTGTTTCCTTATTCAACTTTCTAGGTATCATTCTTGACCCAAGATTATCGACGCACAAAGATGTCGAACATGTCCGCACCAAATGCATGAAACGTTTAAATTTGTTCAGGTGTATTTCAGGATCAAGAAACGGGGCTGACCGGCATGCGCTATTGTTATTATACAACTATTTGGTTCTCCCGATAATCAAATATAGCTCCGTTGTGTATGCAGGCGGTGGTGAAAATAGCCTAAAAGCCCTAACCGTCATTCAAAATATGTTTTTGCGGCTCACACAGGAAGCACTGAGCGCATCTCCAATTTCTGCACTCGAGGTAGATGCATGCACTATGTTTCTAGCCCTCCGACGTATTGAATACACCTTAAGGTACATCGCAAGGATTCGAAAAAGTCCCAACCATCCAACATTTGCATCTACGCACATATTGCCCCGAATTCATCACACATACATCGGACCGGCAGAACGCCGCTCAGGCATGACAATCGCGTCTCGTGTAATC